ATGTTTTGCGTCACATACTTCAGGCCTATTGCTAGAAAAGGGACATGATGCTGGGAAGGGTGGAGGGTCAGCAAAGGAGAGAAAGACCCTCAGCAAGGTGGATTGACAACGGTGACTGCTGGAATGGGCCCATGTGTCAGGAGGTGTGAGGATACCGCAGGACAGGACAGGATTCAGATCTGCTGTTCTTAGGGTTGCTGTGAGTTGTACTCAGCTCGGTGGCACCTAGCAATAACAACAGATGAGGTAAATCACTTCACCCCAGCAACAATAGCGAAGTTCAACAGAGCAGCAAACAACAAATGCTGGTGAGGTTGAGGAGAGATTGAAACTCTTACTCACTGCTGGTGGGAATGTAAAATGGTACAGCCACTATGAAAAGTGTCTAGCACTTTCTCAAAAAGTTGAATATAAAAACAACTATGAGATAATCATCTCACCCTAGATAGAATAGCAAAATTTGACTGAACAGCAAGCAACAAATGCTGGCGAGGTTGTGGAGGAACTGGAACCCTGATTCACTTTTGGTGGGAGTGTAAAACGGTACAAGCACTGTGGAAGGCAGTATGGCGCTTTCTCAAAAAGTTGCAAATAGAGAAACCATTTGACTCAGCAATTCCACTACTGGGAATATACCCCAAAGACACCAGAACTGCCACCCAAGCAGATATATGCACACTTATGTTTATTGCGACTTTGTTCACAATAGCAAGGAGTTGGAAACAACCTAAGGGCCCATCAACAAATGAATGGATAGAGAAGCTGTGGTATATTTACACAATGGACTACTACGCTGCATTGAAAAACAAGGAACTTATGCACTATTATTCAAAATGGGTGACCCTGGAGGACATTATGCTGAGTAAAGTATCTCAGTTACAAAAGGACAACTACTGCATGGTGCCACTGTTGTAAAACAGGACTGGCCTTGGGGTTGAGAAAAGACTGAGAAAGACGGGTTCAGTAATGTATACTGCATTGAAACAGATGAGGGAGAAAACTGTTTAAAAGGGACGTGATTAGGTATTTTTGTCATGACAGGAGTCTAGGGAGAAGCTACATGGTGGAGTGGACCTGGGGGAGGGATTGTAAAACAGTGAAAGAATTTTACTTTTCCAAGAGGGTAGTGTACTAGGGGGGAGGGTTGAGAGGGGAGAAAAGTACAACAATGAATGGAAATCCAAAGTCTCTAAATTTTTACCAAAATTAATAATAAATTTAAATTTTAAAAAAACTAAAAAAAAAAGGTTGAAAATAGAAATACCATTTGACCCAGCAACTCCACTAATGGTATTATACCCTAAATAAACCAGAGCCTCAACTCAAATAGATGTATGCACACCCATGTTTATTGCTGGCGTTACAGTATCAAAGAGACGGAAGCAACCCAAGTGCCCATCAACAGATGAATGGATAGAAAAACTATGGTACATTCACATAATGGGATACTACACAGCATTGAAAAACAACTCCTAAAACATTACACAACGTGGGGAAGTGGAGGACATGACACTGAATAAGATACCTCAGTCACAGAAGGGCAAATGCTGCTTAACACTGCTGTTATAAAATTGGACAGACCTGGGGGAAGGTTTGGGGAGAGAATGGAGAAAGTAGATAATGAGCACTACAGTGTAGTAGTGTTCTACAGTGAGTAGAACAGATGAGGGGAAGAGCTGTTCGAGGGAATAGGGAACTAGCCATTGTATGTATGAGAGCAACTTGGAGCAAGGGCAGGGAGGGGAGAAAGAAAAGGTGCAGCAGTGGTGGAAAATATTTTTTAAAACATGAAGACAGTATTATAAGAGGAATTTCAGAACCATCTCAGGAACAGGTTTGAGGCCTTGAACACCAGTGAGTGAAGACCATATGACCTATGGGAGGATATCAGTATCGTCCATGAAGAACACAAAAGATCATTACAAAGGCAGAAGAGGAAGAAAAGACCAAGGTGGATGTCAGATAAGACTCTGAATATTTCATTAGAGCACCAAGAAGCCAAAGCTAAAGGAAGAAATTAAAGGAACTATTTCAAAGGGCAGCTAGGGATGACAAAGTAAGGTATTATAATGTAATGTGCAAAGAGCTAGAGACAGAAAATCAAAAGGGCCATACACGCTTGGCATTTCTTAAGCTAAACAAATTGAAAAATTCAAGCCACAAGTGGCAATACTTAGGATGCTTTGCACAGAATGTTAAATGATCCAAGAAACATTAAAAGAAGGCGGAAGGAGTTTACAGGGTCACTGTACCAGAAGGAATTGGCTGACGCAGAAGGATTTCATGAAACAACTTATGAACAAGAGCCTGTGTTGATGAAGGAAGAAGTTCAAGTTGTTCTGAAAGAACTGGCAAAAAAGCAAGGCTCCAGGAGTTGATGGTGTACCAGTTGACATATTTCAACAAAGAGAAGCTGCCCTGGATGTGCTCGCTAAGTTGTGCCAAGAAGTCTGGAGGACAGCCAGCTGGCCAACTGACTGGAAGAGATCAATATTTGTTCCCATTCTAAACAAAGGTGATTTGAAAGTGCAGAAGTTAAAAAAAAAATAATAAAAAAAAAAGAAAGTGCGGAAGTTATCAAACAATATTATTAATATCACATGCAGGCAAGATTCTGCTGAAAATGATCCAAAAATGACTGGAGCAATACATTAGCAGAGAACTGCCAGGTGTGCAGGCTGGGTTTAGAAGAGGACATGGTACTAGGGATATTGTAGCTAATGTCAGATGGATCTTGGCAGAAAGCAGAGAGTACCAGAGGAATGTATATCTGTGTTTCATTGACTATGTGGAGGCTTTTGACTCTGTGGATCACAACAAACTGTGGCTGACTCTGGGAAGAATGAGAACCCATTGATTTTGTTTATGAGAAACATATGCTTGGACCAGGAGGCAGTCGTCAGAACAGAGCAGAGAGACACTTCGTGGTTCAGAATCAAGAAGGGGGTCCGTCAGAGATGTATTCTGTCTCCATACCTTTTCAATCTGTGTGCTGAACAAATTACCAGGATGCTGGGCTGTACGAGGAGGAATGTGGTATTAGGATTGGAGGAAGATTCATCAACAACCTCCGATATGCAGATCACACAACCCTGCTTGCTGAAACTGAGGAGGACCTGAGGCGCTTGCAGCAGAAGGTCAAGGACTGCAGCCTTCAATATATGTTGACGCTCGACATCAAGAAAACAAGGATTCTCACCGCTGGGCCGATTGGCAGCATCATTATGGACAGTGAAGAGATGGAGATTATTAACAGTTTTAGTTTGCTTGGCTCCGCAATCAACACTCTTTGCACTGGGAAAGACAGCTGTCAGGGACCTCTCTAGAGTACTGAAGAACAACAACATCAGGCTGGAGACTAAGGTGCATCTGATCCAGGCTGTAGTCTTTGCAATAGCGTGCTGTGCATCAGCTGGACAATGACTAGGGATGATAGAAGAATTGATGCCTTTGAGCTGTGGTGCTAGAGAAAAGTGTTGCATATATCATGGACTGCTAGGAAAACAAACAGGTTTGTCCTGGAGAGGGTAAAACCGGGCTGTTCCTTGGAGGCAAGGATTCTGAAGCTTCGTCTGACATACTTTGGACATATTGCAAGGAGAGACCAGTCCTTGGAGAAGAACAGGGCAAGAGAGGAAGACCCTTGATGAGATGGATCAATTCAGTGAGTAGAGTGTGTCAGAAACAGTGAGGTTGGCACAGGATAGAGCAGGATTTAGGGCTCTTGTACATAGGTTTGCTATGAGTCACAAGCAACTCAATGGCACATAAAACAACTATGCTTTCAAGTACAAAAACCTGGAAATACATATTTTATCTTGTTAGCTATTACTGTATCAGTTTCTACTCCTGGTGACCCATATGTACGGAGTAGAACTTCACATTTCTCACTGCTGTGCCCTCTGGGAAGCGAAGCCAGGCCTGTCTCCCGAGACAGTGTGACATGGGTTCAGCCACCAGCTTTTATCTTGGAGTCAAGTGGTTGATCCTTTGTGCCACACAGGACATCTGAAGCCTGGGCACACCTGGAACGGTCTTCATTCTCCTCGATGTTTTACAGTATGGTTTAACGTTTGGTATGATCTTTACTGCATTGGGCTGGCTAGGGTTTTTCCCTGCTTTTTTGTATTTAACAGTATTAGTAAATTAGTCAAATCTTTCCTTAACTATAAAGGGCGCCACTGTTGCTTTTAGAAAGTAATGTTTTTTTCCTTCTGAGGACATTTGACATTCAAACGAAAGACGTGGGCTTTTACTTGTCCCCATCTTTTGCCAGCGGCCTCGAGGAAGTTGAGGAGCTGTTGTTTCGGTTGTTTCCACTGGCCCATGCTTGTGTTGGTGGCGGGGTGGAGGGGGCATCCAAGCCTCTGCCTCTGGGGGCTGCATGAGAGGGTTTAGCTCTGGAAATGAGTCCCTGTGCGCTCTATGGCTTCCTGGAGTTGGGGCTTGAGGAGGGACAGTTCCACTCTAACCAAGGAACTCTTGATGCTTCTAGTGTGTTCTGTTAGCTATCGTCATGCTGATGATATATTTCAAGAAGAGGAACTTATATTTTGAGTACATTTTAAAAGTCACTTTCAGGTTTAAGTGCATTAGGTCATACCTTCCCATTTCTTTTTCTATTTTATAGGAAGATGATGCTTTCACTCTTGTCGCGTTACCTGCTGCAGGTTTTCAGGGGCCGGACGTAGCTCCGTGCAACTGCGGGATTCAGACTCCGGCCTTTGCATTGGTAGCACAGCTCCTTAGCTGAGGGTAGTACTCTCGTCGGTTCTCATTACTCCTTCCTTCTACTCCGTCCTTCGTTTTCGAAGCTTAGTTGGCTCCATCATAGAGCCCCTCAGTACACCGGTGTCCTTGGTGCGTCGTTTCCTCCCTGTTGATTTCCAGGTCCTCGAGAGCTGACCCTGCATGCTGGGAAGCCAGATGTTGTAATCAGTGGATGGATGGCGTGTTCAAGGATTTTCTTAACTCTCCCCTTTTTTGTTTCATCATCTTAGGTATCGCTACGGTCAGTTAGTTGAAATAAATAGCCACAGCCTCTTTTCTAAGTGGTTTTCCGAGGTAAGTTCATTTTGATGCGACTTCTGCATTGTCCGCTGCTGCAGCTGACACACCTTGTGGGTTAGGCAGGTAGTGGGCGGGGCGTGGGCATGGGTGAGGCTGGACATAGCAGTGGGAGATGAGTGCTAGGCTGACCTGCTGTTAGGGGCCCAGAGCGCAGCAGGAGTGCAGAGTGACCACTCCAGGCATCTCACGCCAACCAGCACGCATCTCACACCATCTGGCTGGCTGGTCCTAGAGCAGGGAGCAGTGTCCAGGGGACATGGGCTGTGGGGACTTTGAGCAGCTAGACACTTACACAGGCTTCGGCACAGCTAGACACTGATGGTACATGGTGCTTATAGAGTGGCAAGCTGGTGACCAAGATGTTCCAGAAGATTCAAGATCTGATAGACGACAAAGAGGCTTTGGTATTCGTGCTCATCGATGAGGTAAGACCACTCAGCTTTGCACGCTTTCATTGTGGGGCATTTCTGAACTTCACTGCCACAGGGTGTGCTGCCTTTTTTCGTCCAGCCCCGGCCCTGACCTCCCACCCCTCGTCCAGCCCCGGCCCTGACCTCCCACCCCTCGTCCAGCTCCGGCCCTGACCTCCCACCCCTTGTCCAGCCCCGGCCCTGACCTCCACCCCCCGTCCAGCCCTGGCTCTGACCTTGCTGTTGTCTTCCATTCGCTGCCCCTGCCTCCCAGATGGCGTGTCTGGGTTCACACACATTTGTGCACTTGCTCGCCTGCTCGAGGCCCATTCCCCCACGATGCTACTGCCCCCTATCAGCTGGTGCTGTCCTGTTGACTGTGTGTCACCCCTGTAGGTCGAGAGCCTGACCGCGGCCCGAAATGCCTGTCGGGCAGGCACCGAGCCCTCTGATGCCATCCGAGTGGTCAATGCTGTCCTGACCCAAATAGACCAGATTAAAAGGTAGGGCGTGGCCCTCAACAGGATGTCAGCACTCCGACTGGAATAAGTGCACTTTTTAGGTGTTTAATTTTAGTAGAAAAACCACACAGGGACATTATTATTCCCAGTATGGGTCAGGTCTCTGAGGGACTGCGGGAGGCAGGTGTGAGGCAGGGCCGGCTGTAGTTGATGGATGCTGCAGGCCAACAGTGATTGAGTCCCATCCGGAACTTCTGGGCTGTGACTTGTTCCCTTATGGCTCTTGGGGCCCTCGGCGCACACATCCTTCAGCATCCTCTCCAGCACCGTGTTGCGGGGCTTATTGAAAGCTTCACAAGGCTCAGTAGCTTCTTGTTGCAGCAGCTGATGAGCACATGGCGCCATCTCACCCTTGGGCTGTGTGCTCAGGTTACTCATATGTCACTGCCTTACTTCCTGTAGATATATGCATGAACAACCAGAGCCAAGGAAGAAGAGATAGAAGATTTTTACCAACTTTTACAATTGGAGATTGATCGAACATGCAATCAAGATGCATTGATAATAATAGGTGACTGGAATGCAAAAGTTGGGAACAGAAAAGATTTAGTAGTTGGAAAACATGGACTCGGTGACAGAAATGGAGCTGGAGAGTGGATGATCAAATTTTGCACAATGACTTATTCATTGCGAATATGTTTTTGTTGTTTTTTTTTAATTTTTATTATTTTGTGTGAGTGTACCGTCAAATTGGATCTGACAGGTACAGGAGGAGATTGTCCCTCCTTTCCTGGCAGAGCATCTGGTGGATTCGAACCGTGCTCCTCTGGGATTGCAGTGCAGCTTCTTGCCACTAGGCCACCAGAGCTCCCCGCAAATATGTTTTTTAAGACACATAAACGCAGATTATATACATGGATTTCACCTGATGGTATACATAGGAATCAGATAGATTACATCTGCGGAAAGAACCGCTGGAGAAGCTCAATATCAGCTGT